TAGAAGAAGAAATATAAAAGAACAAAAAGGCTGCCACAACTAAGCAGACAACGACAGAAGCCCGGCCTAAGTAGGAAAAACCCAAAAACGGACAGGGGGAAATAAGGACGCGTGACAGGGAGGACCGTAATAGCAGCTAACGGATTTATTAATCAGACAAGCCCGAAGAGAACTCTAAGAGGGAACCGAAAAGGCAGGAAAACTAAAATCGAGGAGAAGACAGACACCCGAGTAAACTTATGCGTCAGGAGACCGTGAATCCACTTAACAAGTGAGGAGCACTGACCTCAGGCAGAGCCTAAGAGAAGTAGATCCTAGGATTTCTCACCAAACGAACAAATCAAGCAATCCGAGAAATATAAAAGTAACGGCCCCGTTAGAAGTGAGAAAGGTGGCAGACATAGGAGATAGGGGAAGGAATAATAGGGAAGATTTCTAAGGAGATGTATTATTAATGATAATCGCATAATAGAAACAAAGGGGAAGTCTACCGGGAACATCCGAGTTCAGACGAACAGGACATTAGGGTAGACAGTAGCAAGAAACCACTCTGACCCAAGTCATGAACAGGAAAGTAAGGAACCTGGCTATCCAAATAAGCCACATATCAGAATAGAACAAGCTGAAATAGAGAAATACTACAGCCGACAAACAAACAAGATCAGGGGCTCTGCCAAAAAGAGGATTACTCCCCAGAAATCCGCTCAGAAGAGAAAGTATCTTAAGTCCCCAAATAAGAGAAAAGAGGGTTAGGTTACAAACAGGATCAGATTCAACCCTAAGCACTGGTTACTAAGAACGACACAGAATAAACAAATCCCAAATACAGGGAAGCATAAGGAGAAAGTCAGAGGGGAGATGAACTCGATCTCTTAGCAGATTAACTGGACCGAACGAAGGACAAATACGGGGGCCACGCCAGGAAGATAAAGAAGGGATAGGGACCCAGAAATCAGTCCAAAGAGACATGATACTCGAGAACATATCTGAAATAACCCACAGAAGGAGTAGGAAGGTAAGGACCTTCAATAAAAACGTTCACCTAATATTCAAACAGAAAGACACAAAAGAAAAAGAAGGTGAATCGGATCCAAACTCCCCCTAGGGAGCAACATCTCAGGGCAACAGAAGTCAAAAAAAACGGAGGAAGAACTAAAGAGGAATTCCAGAATAAGCTGGCGAGAGAGAGAAGAGGGCAAAATAGAAGGATCAGGAAACAGATCTAGAGTTGAAAGGGACGAGGCGGCAAGAAAACACCAAATAAGGATCAGCGACCGATGAAAGCCTCTATGAAAGAGCTACCGAGGAATCGAAAAGAGGAATAGGACCTCATCAGAGTTATGATCCGTCAAGGAACATCATGGATCAACTACCCCGAATAGAGGAGGAAGGAATGAACTCAAAGGGAGCCAAGAAACCTCGACACACACCACCAGGAAGAGTCAAAATCTCAAAGCAGACTCAGCCAAGGGAGTATAGATAGAGCTCAGGTTAAGTAGCAGGAATAAGATCCCGGATCCCCAAGACAAAAGGTGGCCAATACAGGTCGATGGTGGATATTCTAAGGAAAAGATCTCTTAAGAAGATATAGAGGGGGAGGAGTGAGGGTGACATCGCAGAGGACGTAAGAGAATATCATGCCCTGGATGAGAAACCCGAAGTAGTAATAGTCCCAAAAATCAATGATCCGGGCCAGCAAAGACCAAGAGAAACCAGGTGAGGATCTGAATGGGAATATCCGGAAGTTTATTAAATAAACATCATAGAGTCAGAACTTCCGAAACAAACAAAAGAAGGGGTTAGCGCCGAAAACGGGACCACAGGCGAGCAGGGGGATGGGGACCAATGGACAGTGGAGGGGGGCCTGGGATATAGATCAGGCCACAAAGCATCCGAAACTCAGGAAATCAGGGGAGGATATAGCAGAGAGGATCGGACCCCAGGGCTAAATAAGAAAACGTCGACCACAGAGGAAGCGGATAAATAAAGGCAGGAATCCAAGGAACAACCGGAAGCCGAAGGTTCAAATCGCACGAAGCTAAGAAACGATGCCGGCCACCAAGATAAACAAACTAGGACAACTCGTAAGAGTCAAAGGCATCATCTGATAGTCCAGAGGGTTTCAGCTTGGAGGGGAATTCCACTAAGGTAAAAAATAAGGGCATGTGAGGAAGTTAAGAACAAAGCCCCGTATAAGAGCGAGGAAGTCAGACAAGAGGACCAGCCAAGGCTCCTGTTGTAGGAGTAAGGGGGGTAAGGAGGAAAAGTCAGGAAGACAGAGAAAAGTACCTAAATAGTCAAGTAGGACGAAGGGGTAAAATAGGAAAATGATCGAAGGCACATATCGAATCAACAAAGCACTCATAAATCCTAACAGAGACCGTCAGAAGGAGACGGATAAGGCGCGGGAATATCAGCCATAGGACGTGGAATAGGCAATATTAAAGCTATCAAAGTAGAAGGAGAAAAACAAAAAGGATCACATATTAAAGAAGTAGTACCGAGCAACGAAGCCCTCAACGGAATCCGAAGCAGAAGATACAAGGATAAACGAAAGAAGGGTCGGATTCCGTCAAGGAAGAGGAAAGAATCAAAAGGAGAACAGGTAGTAGAAGAGATGGAGGAGGGAACCGATGCCCAAATAAGGGGAACACCAGTGAGAGAAGTAGTTAAGAAGGAGGAGTAATTCCCCAGGTGATCGGAAGTCGCCCCCGGAGGATTTAGAAAGAGGAGAACACGACAGGGATCCAGCAGAGTCAAGGGGCAAGGAACGGGCCTGAGCCTGCGGGCGGAGGGAAAGGAAGGAGAGTAGGGCCCAACGGAGCAGAGGCAGAGACGAGGAACAACTCGTGGCGGAGCAGTTCTCAGATAAAAGGGGAAGTAAAATGGGAGCCGTAGATGATCAGGACGAAAGAAAAGGGAACAAGCAGCCAGAGGGGGTCCGAGCCATTCTGAGAGGGTAGGAATAAGGAGGAGGGGGAGTTTCGAGCAACAAACAGATACGGGAAAAGGCCCAGATCTCGGGCCAGGAGGCATATAAGACGAGTCCCAAGAAGAAAACGAGAGAAATGGCACGAGGTTACAACCCCCCGAATAGGAGCCCGGAACCGGAGAGACCAAAGACCAAATTAAAGAAACAGGGAAAGGCAGCCGGAGGAGTAAGGTCACACTTAGGATTAGGATGCGTCTGAGAGGGTCCGGGGGGAGAGAGGGAACACCGACAGAATGGGGCATTTGCAGAGAAGGGGGACTGATAGATAGAATTTACAAAGAAAGAGCCTACGCAAGGAAGAAACACCGGACAAAAAGATACGTCCTCTCTGAGAAGATATAGAGGTCCTATAGGGACAGGAAATCAGAGCAACAAAGAGGAGGGGACTGAGTTCGGCAGAGAAAGAAGAAGTAAGACAGGTTCATGGACCCAGAAGCAACAAATGTAGCCAGAAGCGAAAGGAGAAGAAGGCGTCGAGGACTACCCGCCCACCACGGCAATAGGGAGAATTTCTCCACCCTTCCAAAGGAGGGAGCGGAATGGACAGATCTGCAGGTAAGGAGAAGGAGAACGTCACAGAGCAGAACCTGGAGAGATATAGGAAAAGAGTCGAGAGGGAGGAGGACCCCAAGAAGGCACGAGGAAAAAGGAGGCGGAGAAAGATAAGAGGGGGAAGGAAGGCGCGTATCTGAAGCGGGCGGACGTCATTAGACGGATCTCATATAAGGTCCGATGTACTAGAGGGAAGCCCCGAAACAAGCCCGGGAGGAGGAGTCTGGGAACAAACAAAATTATCGCGGATGCCGGAGGATCCTTAGGACATCCAGAGGGGGATAGAGGAGGCGGAGTCGTGAGAAGTGAAGAAGCACGAGTCCTTAAGAAGAACAGAACAAATGCACAGATTAAGTTAGAGACGGGATGGGAGGAAGTAGCCGGATTGGGGATATCAGGTCAGAAGAGATTTCTGAATCAGAATTGAGAAAGAGGTGATGAGACACCAAGGTAGAAGCAGGCCAGACGAGGCGCAGACCGATGCTCTCTAGTCTCCATGGAACCAAAGCCAAGAGACAAAAGTAAGGAGGGGGGCAGTAGGGTGAAGGGTAGTCGAGCCGCAAAGGTGCCTAAAGAAGTCAAGAATAGCCAATTCTCTAAATCGGGGGTTGGAAGAAGCAAAGGAAATGCAGGACATTAGGGCCACATGACAGCAATTTAGGGGTCATGCCATGGGGAGGGAATCTATAGCGGAGGAGAGAGGGCAGGATCTCGAAACCAGGAGAAGGGTAGGGGGAAAGAGCCCACAGGGGGGGACCGTGTGTAAGGGCTCGAAGGCGGGAGAGGGAACCCCTCAGGGGCGTGGGAAGGGGAACTTTCAGGCCAAGGCTTCGGGAGCGGGACCAGAAGGGAGCAAACAGGCGTTAGCCTAGTCGAGGACTCAAATAGCAAGGACGAGGGATCTGGTGGAAGGAGGAGGGATTAGGAAGAGGAACTAACTCATCAAATCTCTCACCGAAGGACAAACAACCAGCGGATAAGGAGGCATAGAATCGGAAAGAACCCGACTAAACAGGGGGGTAAGTAGCTCGGGGGGGATCAGAAGGGGCAGGGAACACCTGACAGAGCAGCAGGGCCAGGCGGACCCCCATAACGTCAACGGGAAAGGGCAAGAGGACCCAGAAGAAATCTAAGGACGAGGCACAGGATGACCCCGAACAAGGCTATCCAGGTCTGTAAGGGGTAAGGAGACAGTGGACTACCAGTAGTGTTAGCCTTGTGGGGACAGGGCCAAGGACCAGACGCTCCCCAGATGATCCTCAAGGAGGAAAGGACCATGAGTAAAGGAGGCTCCCCCGGAACACCAAGAGGTACAGGGCCTCCAGCCGAATTGACCGAGAGAACTGGGGAACTCATGACAACCTTGGAGGCCAAAGAGGAGACACAAGCAGAAGAGAGGAGCGGGACGCGGTCCTAAAGAGAAAGAATCAACCGGGTACGACACCGTGGAAGGGCATGAGCGAGGACGAGCGAAAGATCATCTGGACTTTGGCGAGGGAAAAGAAGGGGCAGAGGGGGACCCGTGGGGCGTGGCACAGGGGCAGATCAAAGTCTCGGAAGGTATGAGGGGAAGAAGGTTCGAATAAGGATAAATCCAAGTTAATAGTCCTAGGAGACGAGAAGCAAACGTTGGAGAGAACGATGGAGTAGAACAGAGTCAAGAGGACAGAAGAAGCCAGGACTTTGGATATTCTCGTCTATTTGAGAGTAGCAACAAGGAGTATCTCAGGGCGTCGAGAACAACCAGAGGGAACAGGAGGGCGGAACCAAAACATCCCGGGGGAACAGCCCGAAAAGGGAGCTCGGGACTGTCGACGAGGGTAAACAGGATGATAACAGCAACAGGCGATATTAGGGAGCCATGAGCAGGCCACACTCAGAGGGACGAGTCGGCAGACACGTGGAGGACTGAGGAAAAAGAAGCGACATAAGGGGGCTACCGAGGGAGAATCAGAAGGGAAAGGAGAACCAAGTCTCCGTGAAGTCTATTGAACGGGTAGATAGGAGCGGTTTCTTGAAAAAAGAAGGAGGAGAGTCTGTGTCATGAGACACCGAGCGGGTAGAAGGGAAAAAGATCGGAGGCAACGCCAGGAGGAGACTAGGGGGGGATGTGCCAGGGGAGAAACTCCAGGAGGCGCGAAGCGCGCCATAGAAGGAGAAGACGCCAGGGGAAGGAGAACGGAGCCGCACCTCAAAAGGACCAAGAGTCCCGGGTCCCCACCTCAGTGGAATTCCAGGAGGTCGACGGGGAGAGGGCAAGGATTTATGGGAAGAACGCGCCCGTGGAACTAAGAGGAGGAGCGACACGCCAGGGGGTTCTGATACGCCACCTGGGGAGAGGTGGTCTGGAGCCGAGAAGCTCAGAGCAGGAGGAGAGGAATCGGAAGGCCGGTGTTTAACCGTAGAGAGAGTAGATGACGTGACCAGTCCGAAGGATTCATAGAAGTTTTGTCATCACAGGAACTTCTGAGTAATGAAGGGGACTAAATAACCTACCCCAACGTCCTCCAAGGAAGAGGCAGCCAGATCAAAGGGAAGAGATGGAGGAGCCCTTGAGACGGGCCCAGGGCAGGGGGGGAGGAAAGAGAGAACATCAAGACAAAGGAGAGAGTGCAGAGGAGGGGGCAGAGTCCGGGACGAGTTGAAGAACAACCAAGGGGGCAGCTCGGGGGGGAGATAGAGCAAGGAAACCACCCGGAGTGGGAGCCCACCCCACGGAAACGGTAGAGGCGGGAAAAGAGGAGACGCCCCAAGGGGCGCCCTGGGGCTGAAGGCGGAGAGAAAGGGGGGAGGAAACAGAAATGAGTGGCCCAAGGGAAGAAGACGCGGGGGAAGTTCCGAGCGGAGCGACCGAAGGAGGAGAAGGAGGCAACGACATACACCAGGAGACAGCAAGGATAAAGGTCACCCGCGAGGAGGCGTAGGGTTCGAGGACGAAAAGCCACCACGAGAACAGAATAAGAGTAAGGTAGTCAAATTGGAAAAAATCGTGAGATATCTGAAGAAATCATGCTAAGATTCTCAGGATGGATCGAAGAGGGCATCTGGAGGCGGAAGCAGGAGACAGATACAGCAGAGTCCCCCCCAACCAGACTGAGGCTAAAACAGTTGGAGCAAGGAACAGCCAAACAAGAACAACAGATCCCCAGGGATAGATGGGATTCCCCACTGGAGGGTGTGAAAAGCAGCCTGAAAGGGATGGACATGAGATCAAGACTAATATGTCAGGCAATAGAGGTTTGGATGCAGAATTTGCAGATCGATAAGAATGAAAAGTGGGAGCAGAAAGAGTCCAGTTGTCAGAAGGAGGAGGTGGGATTCCTCTTTCCCGGGTGGAGAGAGGATAAATGCCCTATAAACAGAAAAAATAACCAATGGTCTAGATTGACTAGAGATATTTCTTTAATGAGAAGCCAGGCGTATCACAGGAACTTAGCCGTATGTATGGATATGATGAGTATAATTTTGACTGCCTATCAAAATATAGAACGCGAAACGAGCAGCTGGACACTACAGGGGAAGGATGCATGCGAAGCAATATATGACGCGTTCACGACATGGGGGGGGAAGGCAGTAGCCGAGGAAGTAATGTCAGAGTGGTTTAATAACCCCCCCAAGGGAACATCCAGAAGAAGGAGTTTAAAGGTGTCTGAAGGGAACAAGGCGAGGGGTGAGATATGGGCCGAATTTTTTAAGGAGGCGGGGAGTTACGTAACGGCACTTCAGTGTTACAAGAATCCAGCAGAGGCAAACAGATGGCGGACCACATGTTTAAGGACTAGAAACAACGAAGGTTGCGAGCAAATGCAAGGGGACGTCCAACAGTATGAGGAGGTAGGAAGCTAAGACAAGAGTGGAGCTCTTCCCTCAAGGGTAACATGAGATTGGATGTGTGAGTAGGAGTGGAGCCTAGAGGAGATATGGACTAAGTGCAATATCCACTGAACCAGGCAGATCAGAGTGACAAAACAGTAGCACAGACCAAATGGCAAACGACAGAAGAAGATCACGAGGAAACTTCATAAGTGTATTGACCATACGCCAACTTATTCAGAAGAGAGCGGAGGAGAGCTTGAGGAGGTAATGACTGAGATCCAATTTACCTCTATAGGATAAAAAGGCGAATACCCGAGAACAGCCAGGGATAATCAGCAAGCTAGAACAAGCTCAGGAAGAAATGGAGGACAGGATAACTGAAGCAGGGGGCTCAGGATCAGTGGGGGCAATAGTGGGGGGTCTTACAACCGTGGCGTTAGGGATAAGTGCACTTTTAGGTCTCTATAGGATAATGAAGGGAAAACCAAGAACAGGGCGGAAGCCGGGCGAGATTTCAAGAGGCCTCTCCTCACCTTCTCAGAATTTTCGTACCCCAATCAGGACACGGCAGGGTTAGCAGGATCAACAAGCCCCCCTTGGCATATTTCGAGCGAGGCAGACAAGGATATACCAGCTGTCTCACAACAATAGTAGCGACGGGAGATAATAATGAGTATTCCGTATCGGGATTCTGATCCAATCCGCAAGAAACAGTTCCAAGGGCGGTGGTAGGCACACTTCCGGGCCTTAATGAATCTGGAGAGGAACTCGGAGTATTAATTACGGAAGCCCACGATATCATTAAAATTGTGCCTATAAATTCATCATGAAGCCAGGTTAGCATTCTGGGCCGCCATCTGAAATGGACAACTAGGAGGACCGGACGGCGCTCTCCAGTTTACGATCGGAGTTGATGATGAAATATCCGCATGTTTGGATTAACAATCAAGTCTGCCGGGCCAGGACGACTCGGGCGATTAAGGAACGGACTTCATCTAAGGCACGAATATAATCGAGGAATTGACGAGGATCTCCAGTTTAGGATCTACGGATGTTGTTTCTAGGATGTAACCAATGGACTTCTAGATTCCCGATCCAATCACGGATTTTCGACGTCTCCCATGCACGCTAACAGCTTCGGCGTCTACTTTTGGAGGTTTACAGAGGAGGTTTGCCCTTGCTATTCCGGGGTGTCGGGTTTAGGAATTTAAGGTGTAGGAGTTGGGGTTTACGGTTTATGGTGTAGGTTTTAGGGTTTAGGGTTTATTGTTTAGGGTTTACGGTTTAGGGTTCAGGCTTTGGATTTCAGCGTTTAGGTTCTAGGGTTTTAGGTTTCGGGTTTCATGTTTTAGGGTTTAGGTGCTATGGTGTATGGCTTAGGTTTCAGGGGTTAGTCGCCCCGTCCTATATTTAGTCTTCAGATTTACTTTTCTGCATGTCGGGGTTATTGTTTAGGCCTGTGGTTTTAAATTTCCTCTATTTTTCAAGACTTATACTTTTTCTTTTTTGGATTGCGGCGCGATGATCTATCCTTCAAGGTAAAGTTTAGGTTTCAGGCGATATTGATTAGATTTCTCTTTAGTGGGTAGCCTTAAACTCTGTGGAGGAAGATTCGAGGTTTTATGCTTCTAGTGCTGAGAGTGTAAGTTTTAGGTTTCTACGCTGTCCATCTCGTGTTTACGGGTCAGTCTCTACCTCTCCCTATTCACGGTCCTTGTTCCAGGGTTTAGGCTCTATGTTTTATGACTTTGGGGTTATTTTTACGCTTTAGCCTGTATGGATTAGGTGTCCGGATCTTGGGGAGGACGTCCTATTTTCCTTGGTTTAAGGTTTAGTGCTATGGTCTGCAGTCCATGCTTGACGGTTCATGTACCATCTTGTACGTTCTAGGTCTACGTTGTTGGGTGTCAATTTAGGATTTACGTCTCAGACTTTATGCTGGAGATTATGTCTCTGTTGTTTAATGTCTAAGGCGTTATTCTCATGGATCTGGGTATACGTTTGCGTCCCTCACCCCTTTCCTCTACGGTTCATGCGATAGGGGGCAGTTTCTAATCTTTAGTTAAGGCCTTATGATTCAGGGTTCTGGATTCAGGGCTTACTGTTTAGTCTTACGGTTGCGGGGTTAGGCTTCATATTTAGAATTTAGACCTCCTATCTTATCCTATAGGCGTTAGGCTTGGTTATTCAGAGGCTTATGCTTTACGCGTCAGTGTTCAGGTTTTACTGTTTACGTTCAGGATTTATGTCCTACTCATTAAGCCTTAGGGTTGCTATATGCTCCCCTATCTGCTTTAGTCCCCTGCCTTCGGAGCTGGGAATACGGGGGAGGTGTCCCACTCTATACTTCTACCCTGGTCTTGGTTATTTTCACAGCCCAGAGTCCATTTCTCAGATTCTATTGCTCTTGATTTCACTGAGCACTCCGTAACCTTCCCTGGTCATTGGTTCTTTCTCCTGTTGTCCTCTCTATCCTTTCGTCCTCCGTTTTCTGTTGTAGCGCTTGCGTCCTTCCGGATTCCCCCTTTGACTTCCTGGTCCTCTTTGAGATTGTATTGCTGAACTTACCACACTGAGACTTAGCCCGCATGAGCCCTATTCCGGTGTCCGCGCTGCTTTGGGGAAGTGTTGGGAAGGCTGCACTTATTCGATGGTTTCATTTTCCATTTAATAATACTTATTTTTACACTCGCTCCCTTCTTATCCTCTTTGTAATGCCTATTCGTTAGCTCTAATCTTGCTGTATCTACGATAGCAGCCTATATCTAATAATTTTAGTCAATACTTCTATAGGTATCCTAATAGACTAGTCAACTTGAGACTTCAGCAGCATTGAAGGTGGAATGTTAACATCAAGGATACATGACATATAGAGAATCACTCATATCTTTACACTTGTGGTTCCCTTATTCATATATCTTTCAATTTATTTAAGCTTCTTCTTGAATCAAGATTGAACTTTGTATCCTGCCTTGATTTCGCTCCTCGAGACTTCCCCTATTATGAGAATAAAAAGGAAACATCGCAACTTTTATTTATAATATACTCTTCCCCCTATATTATTGAACAGATATATTCGTGTTGTACTCTCATGCTTAAATGTGGTTCTGTCTTATAACATCTAGGTCCCTCCTTCACTATCTCCTATGTCAACTTCTCATAAGGGTACGCCAATGATAGGAAAATAATAAAAACTGTAATTCAGTAATTAACTTCTGAGAAGTTTCTATTAAAATTATTACAATAATATTCATCTATTATAAATGATTCGTAGGTTTCTAGTCCCTATATATATCTATGTCGTATCACAGTCTAGTATAATTCCTTCTAATAACATAGTTTGTCCCGGTATGCAAGGAAGGAGAAGATTGAAATATACATAGTAAGGCGATTTTCTTTGCTTTGGAACTATACTTCCAGTTATATATCTTATGGATGAAACCCCCCTTCTGGAAGGTAGTGCGTTATTTTAATGTTACTTATTACTCATGTTTGAATTCAATATGAGCTGTACTTCATCTGTTGGTTTACCAATAGGCACCATTGTTATTATCTGATTCTTCACTGTATCAGTTAGGATGGACAGGAATATTTATCATGTAATAATTATCACTCTTAGGAACAAGGACGATTTCGCATATAACTATGAATTCTCTGATTCTTATCTTTCAATGAGAATTATGAGGTTACATCTGAGTAACAAGAGAAAGAATACACTTATGCAATTTTTTGTATTTGTATATACATTTAGCCACATATTTGTAACAGTTGTATGACAGAGTTATGATATGGGAAAAGTTGAAATATTAATTAGGTTTAATGCAAATATATAAACATTATATTTTGTTCGGGCTAAAATTATCTCTTACAATTTAATCCTTCGACCATGGGGGATTATACAGATTCTGCTTACTATCCTTAAACACATATTTACGTGGAAATCGGATTCATTATTATTACATACTATGCTGCATACTGTTATGGTATGAAGATGATCTGTACGAGACGTAGAGCATCAATTTACAGAATTATCAATAAATTATTTTTCACCCATAGGGAAATAAAACAACTAATTATTTTAAGGCTACAAGTCAATATTTTCCTTTTAATGTTCCAGAAGTATGCGGTGAAATCCCTGATATCTGTATTTTTAATTTATTTCATATCTCGTTATCCTTTCCTATTCACGCACTATGTATGATTCTACACACTCAAGGATGAATCTCTATGATAACAAAAAGGGAAGAATTAAGAACCTGAAAAATTCTCTGTCAGGAGATAAATAGGGGTCGTGGTTATTTAATAATAACTTCACCTATGAATCAAGGAAACGGTGGATTTCTTTGGAATATGTTACTAACAGTAAATTGAACACTCTCCTATAATGATTAGAGATGAAAAAAAGGAAAAATATTCAGCAAAAACTTATAGATACTCTTTAATTAAGCTGTTATAAACCACTACAGGCGTCATCTAGAGAGAAGGCTTCTGTATACCAAAGTATGAAATTAAGGATTAACTTATGATGAACTCTGATAACATAACCTCTACGGGACGCCTATGAATATGTTTTCTTCCGGTGTACTAACGTAAATATGAGTACGCGCATCTACATTTACTTATAGTGAATTTCTCTACACCTGTCTATTTCAATAATGTTATAATCAAATCTTATGAAACATAAAGAAGAAACTGATTCCCTCCCTGAAATTTGTTTTAGAGAATTATCAACATCTTGATCTAAGTATACGAGTGGGGGGGTTCATATGCATACCATACGAAATTTATTCTGATGCTTCTGTTAGAATGAATATTCCAATTAAGCATAGTTCCCTAGGGATCTTTATCCACTAAAGTGAGGAATTCCCATAAGAATTCAAGAAGATATTTCACTGTAACAAGGGTACTGTGTGAGATGAGTTATTCATAATGTGTTACCATGATATTCCACGTACACCATGTATAAGTATGCATCTGATTTAAAGAATGCTCCGTCTAACTATAAATGGTGACACTTCTAGAAATCCATGTTCAAAATTTGTCAGTATAATATCTAAGAATGCCGCCCTAGATTTTTGTATACATTAGTGTCATGGCTTTCATACTTATAATACGGTCCACTTTTTCGTCTTGTATCACCCATTACGTAACATGAATAATGTGTTCTGCATATATTTGAGGATTAATCCAAAAATTATTTCCTGACACTGAGAAAATAAGGAACTTGTAGAACTTCGCTTTGAGACAAATATATGCTAGGAATGTGAAAGGATTTCCCATGATTCTGTTATTTTATTTGATCTGACGCTATAAAGATCATATTCAAATTTGCCCTATGTAAATTGAGAAAAAGCACATGACACAGAATCAGAAACAAATGCGATTACAGGTGCTGAACTATACTATAATAGTGTTCTGTCCAGAGGACAGGGACAATCGTTGCCAAAAGTTAATGTCACATCCTTAGTTTAATTATATGGAGTTATACAATCGATTACAGTTCAGCCCATGTATTGTAATTAGAATGAATTACAATATCATATTCTCTTTTGAAAAGTGCAAGACGGAAGATGTGTAATTTGGCAAAGTATCAGCATGCTCCTATAATTGTACTAAAGTGGAACGTCCTTACCCGTAGTGTTAAACCGAAGTTTGAAACAGGATGAGGAAAATATAGAAAAATAAAAAAAATAAG